TGTCAACCAGTTAAGATTAAGGAGAATGCATCAGACAGCCTTCCGTAACCAGTCTAATATTGTCTGGGCGTGTTTTCGTGGCAGACCTGTGATTCACCAGAAAGAACAATCTTCTCTCATAGACAGACGCCACTCTGTAAAATTTATAGTATGTAATTTCGACATGCCTACTAGTTTTTCCACTAATATACATGGAAAGGGGGGTTGACTGGGGAAACAGGCTTACTGGTGTTCTTTAATGATCTAGCAGCTTAACGATTGGACAACCTATAACACGAAATATGGCCATAAACCGTGACATGGTATTCTCATTCATCCGGACGCAGTGACCACAATGACAGATGAAGTTGGCAGCAAAGTCAATGACTCGATAATGCTCGGACGATCCGTATAACAGACAATGATAATAGCCAGCTTCTGGACACAGATCAAGATGGCTGCTCCTCAACCAAGTCTCTCGGCAAGTGTGGGAGTGACGTGCGTGCCAATAGGATCCCAGACTGAGTATGAACTTGGCATATAAGCCACAATATTTTATTCTAGTTTGCTATCTGATTAAAACATTGCTGACGTTATTTTACATCATAATACCGCATTCCTGGTATCAACAGACGGTTTTCCGCTGTGTTTATTATTGAACCGAAGTGTTGTTAGATGAATAATTGATATACTGTATATAGATGATATTCAGTTTGCGACATTTACCTACCTGGAATCCACTGATCGCAGCTGGCGAAACTTTATTTAGAAACAGATGTATAATTTGTTCTAATATATTAAATCAATTTCCAGTCGATATTACCTAGTAAATTGAACCAAAGGTTAGACTGGGTTTAATTTGATTTATATAAATAGTTAGTTCTCATAGAAACTGGGCAGCTGATGAAACAGCGGCAATAATGTTAGGGAGAATTTAGTTGTACTACGCTACTGGTTAGTAGTGTTAGTAAATTTGATTTCCTAGCAAAATAAATTCATCTTATAGTACTAGGGGTTAGTAAATGGGGGTGTCGGAAATTTCCGACAAGTGCTATGATTATTTCAGTTACTAGATGTGAATATGTGTTGTATATAGAGCGGTGTCATGTATATAATTTCCCCCTAGAAACAGGTAGTGTTTAACATTGTAGCCTCTCACTGTACCCCTAGACACGTGTTGAGGCCAGGTGGCTTATTCATGATTTACGGGAAAGATTATGCTACCAGCGATGCTGTGGGACCTCGTGACACTACAGTCAATGGAAATTTCTAGGACATGAAATTGTAGGCACAAATCATGAAAACTGGGTGGTTACCCACCCGCCCTTTTCCCGCCACCCGGTGGCCCACCCGCCCTCTTCCCGCCACCCGGTGGCCCACCCGCCCTCTTCCCGCCACGTTTGCCCCACCCGCCCTCTTCCCGCCACGTTTGGCCCACCCGCCCTTTTCCCGCCACCCGGTGGCCCACCCGCCCTCTTCCCGCCACCCGGTGGCCCACCCGCCCTCTTCCCGTCACCCGGTGGCCCACCCGCCCTCTTCCCGTCACCCGGTGGCCCACCCGCCCTCTTCCCGTCACCCGGTGGCCCACCCGCCCTCTTCCCGTCACCCGGTGGCCCACCCGCCCTCTTCCCGTCACCCGGTGGCCCACCCGCCCTCTTCCCGTCACCCGGTGGCCCACCCGCCCTCTTCCCGTCACCCGGTGGCCCACCCGCCCTCTTCCCGTCACCCGGTGGCCCACCCGCCCTCTTCCCGTCACCCGGTGGCCCACCCGCCCTCTTCCCGTCACCCGGTGGCCCACCCGCCCTCTTCCCGTCACCCGGTGGCCCACCCCGCCCTCTTCCCGTCACCCGGTGGCCCACCCGCCCTCTTCCCGTCACCCGGTGGCCCACCCGCCCTCTTCTCGTCACCCGGTGGCCCACCCGCCCTCTTCCCGTCCCGGTGGCCCACCCGCCCTTTTCCCGTCACCCGGTGGCCCACCCGCCCTCTTCCCGTCACCCGGTGGCCCACCCGCCCTCTTCCCGTCCCCGGTGGCCCAACCGCCCTTTTCCCGTCACCCGGTGGCCCACCCGTCCTCTTCCCGTCACCCGGTGGCCCACCCGCCCTCTTCCCGTCACCCGGTGGCCCACCCGCCCTCTTCTCCCGTCACCCGGTGGCCCACCCGTCACCCGGTGGCCCACCCGCCCTCCGTCACCCGTGGCCCACCCGCCCTCTTCCCGTCACCCGGTGGCCCACCCGCCCTCTTCCCGTCACCCGGTGGCCCACCCGCCCTCTTCCCGTCACCCGGTGGCCCACCCGCCCTCTTCCCGTCACCCGGTGGCCCACCCGCCCTCTTCCCGTCACCCGGTGGCCCACCCGCCCTCTTCCCGTCACCCGGTGGCCCACCCGTCCTCTTCCCGTCACCCGGTGGCCCACCCGCCCACATCCCGTCACCCGGTGGCCCACCCGCCCTCTTCCCGTCACCCGGTGGCCCACCCGCCCTCTTCCCGTCACCCGGTGGCCCACCCGTGGCCTCTTCCCGTCACCCGGTCACCCGGCCCACCCGCCCTCTTCCCGTCACCCGGTGGCCCACCCGCCCTCTTCCCGTCACCCGGTGGCCCACCCGCCCTCTTCCCGTCACCCGGTGGCCCACCCGCCCTCTTCCCGTCACCTGGTGGTCCTGTGGGAACCGACCTGTGAGATTTATATTTATTTAATTTATATGAATTTATATAGAATTTATATATACGTTAATTTATATATTTCGATAGCAATTTGTATGATGTTAAGTTGACTATTTCTGCAATAATCTCACAAATCGATCCTCTACACAGTAGGGGGGGGGGTTATATTGAATTTATATATATGCAGCCAATCAAACTACAGTATTAAACTACATATATTAGTATACATTGAGGAGGTTCCTTATCTTATTGTACAGCAGGCCTTAGTTCACCAGATATAACTAGGATGTAGACACCAAATTATCCTCTGTGAGGCAGCTTCCATCACCCAGTAACTGGTACACAAACTTGCTTCCTCTTCTTGACCTGTCAAAAGGGCGCTAGCTAAAAGTCAGAATCCTAATATATGACAGCTATATCAGAGAAAACACTGTACAATGAATCATAAAGACCAAGGCTTAATTACCTTATTTTAAGAGGCTGTTCGCATTCTAACCGGTCGCCCTATCTACTGACATTAATGGCCAAAAATGATTAGATAAACGGGTTTCGGCAGAACACTTTCCTTGATTATGTTGACAGCGTGTTGATGATGGAAGACCTTTGGTTTCCATAACACTTCGTCCAAGAGAAATTAACAGGAGCCGAATTTGCTCCCTGCCTCTGGTCTTAAACAACAATGGCTGACCACTCCCTCACCACTGACGCTAATGGCCTACATTGTCCAGATGACAGTAAGTGATAGAAGGGTCACATTTACTCTATTTTAATATTGATAATTAAGTTAATTGAAATGAGATGTTATGATGATGGTAAAGTCCAAAGACTAATGTATTTAAGAATAATTCCCAGCAGAATAGCTGGTGAATTTATAATAGTATGTGGCAATGATATCCCGTTTTCTATAGACGGAAAATTCCACTACAAGTTACATTTTATATGGGTTAACTTGTGTATACAACGCAGCAATATTATCTGCAATTGCATTGATATTATTAAATGGTGTCGGATTTTCCGACAGGTCCACTTCCCGTCACCCAGTGCAAATTTTCTATGGGTTAGAAAATGTAACACCCAGTGTTACATTTTCTATGGGTTAACTTGTGTATACAACGCAGCAATATTATCTGCAATTGCATTGATATTATTAAATGGTGTCGGATTTTCCGACAGGTCTTCTTCCCGTCACCCAGTGGCCCACCCGTCCTCTTCCCGTCACCTGGTGCAAATGCATTTATATAATACTTTAAGGGGTTACCAAGTGTTCCTTGGTTATGGGAGACATCTCCCGTCACGCAGGGTGCAGTCGCACCTCCACAGATCTCCAGTATCATCTATTGATACTGTTGATGGCTCAAAAGGGCCACCACTTACGGGCTATTCATGCCTGTGCCACCTTTTGGATGGCTTAATCTTCATTAATCAATCAATCTGTTCCTTGGGTCAGTCTGTATGTTTCCCATCTGTCCGTCTATCTATCCATCCATCCACCCATCTAGCCATCTATTTCTCCATCTCTCCATCCATCAATCTATCTTTCGATATATTTGTCCATCTATCTATTAATTTATCAATCGAAGTATCTAATCATCCATCTATTCAACTATTTATCCAACTATCTATTTTGCTATCTATCCAACTCCCCATCTATCAATCCATATATCTCACGTGTTGACCAAACCACACACTAAAAATTGAAGAGATGGCGACGTTTCGGTCGGTCCCGGACCATTATCAAGTCGGTGTTGTTGATTGTCGATTGGTCAACATTTTTCAGACATGTTATTGTGACTTTTCATCTACACACATCTCTCTATCCATCTATACATTTATCCATCTGTCAAATAATCTATCTATCCATCCATGTGTCTATCCAACCATCTGCAAGTCCATCAATCCAGCCATCTATCCATCCATCCATCTGTCTGTGTCTCTGCCTCTCTGTAACTAACTATATTTATCTCTCTCTCTCTCTCCCCCTGTGTCATTCTCTTCATTTGTCCGTTTCTGTCTCGGTCTGTCTCTTTTGCAAAAAAGTATAAGTTCCTATTGTATTGGTGGGCGCCAGTGAGAGAAGCATGGTGTGAGAAATACTATAAAAAACATTGAAGTTCTGGAAGAATCATGTGTTTTATCCAAGATGCAGGTAAATTATTGACAACAAGAAATTTATGTTAATTTTTTCGACATTAATCTGCACCAATACTGGTGCATATTACTTTAAGACAAAACTGGTTTGAAAAGTTTGTTTTGAAAATGCTGTGAAGTGAGGCTATCTACAAGCATGTGGCCTCCAACTTCTTCGAACAAAAAAAAAAAGACACTCTCCTATAGATCCTATAGATCAACATTGTTTGACAGGGCGCCGTGGTGGGGTTTGTGACGGCCTTCGCCTACAACATGTGGCTGGTGGTCGGCAAGTTCATGCGTGGAGGAGGGTCTCCGCCCCGCCTGCCGCTCTCCACTAGCGGTTGCCTGGAGGACGTCGTCATGCATGCTAACACAACCATCCTCGCCTTTCTCACTAACACCACAGTGACGCATGATCTGACGCTCAACGCTTCTTCTACTGTCAAGTTAGTTCCACCACATGTATTACTTTATTCTGTATTAACACAGGTGGATATTTTCAAAGTGTTTGTTGAAAAGTGTTTGTTGATATCTCTGCATCACGTTTGTTGACATCTCTCCATCAAGTATATATTATATTGCATATATATTCTAAGTCTGCATAAACATTATGAGATGTCGTCAGTGGGCCCATGTCTAAATCCTTGTTGAGGGAAAGATGAGAACATAATTAACGATCCTGCAGAAGGCTTGTTCGCATTTGTGTTCCTCACGTGTGCCCCAAAGAATGAGGTGATTTGGTAAAATGCTATGCCCAAGATTACTATCCGAGTGCCGGCGGTGGGGTGGTTCAAATAGCCTCGGCTATCACCTCATTTTGTCCGGTCGTGATGGTCAAGTGGATTAAGGCGTCTTGTACATACCAGTTGCGTTGCTCCTGGGAGTATGGGTTCGAGTCACTTCTGGGGTGTGAGTTTTCAGTTATATATATATATATATATATATATATATATCATTTTGCCCGGTCGTGATATATATATATATATATATATATATATATATATATATATATATATATATATATATATATATATATATATATATATATATATATATATATATATATATATATCTTTGAGCCCCGAGCTCAAAGCGGCAGCTAAGAGCCTTTGTGAGAACAAGGAGATAGTCGTCAGGAGAGGTGACAAGTCTCCAATATACGTCATTCTTAAAAAAAAAAAAAAGACGAATGTCGGGCGAAAATGAACCTCATACTCTCTGACCAAACTAAATTCCAAAGGGTAACGAAAGACACTACAGCCGAATTGAAAGCAACGGTCAACAAATTGATCGAAACTGTGAACGCCAAGAAATCCGGACTACACCTGCCAAAGATTATTGGGGAATACAAACCTGGATACGCGTATGGAAATGTCAAGACACACAAGCCTGGAAACCCACTTCGGCCAATCATCAGCCAGATACCCACACCCACGTACAGACTGGCGAAGCGACTCAATGGCTTGCTGACTCCTTATGTCCCTTGCGCCTTCAGCCTGGAATCTCCAAAGGAATTTGTTGACTTACTGCAAGGAACACGGGCCTCAGGGATAAGAGCCTCGTTGGACGTAGAATCACTGTTTACCAACGTACCTGTGGATGAAACAATCGGGATGATAGCAGACAGAGTGTATCATGATCCGGCCTGTACTCCTCTTGACATACCAGAAAACATTCTAAGGAAACTACTCCAAGCTTGTACTAAAGAGGCACCCTTCTTGAGCCCGGATGGGCACATGTATAAGCAAGTAAATGGGGTCGCCATGGGTTCTCCCCTAGGTGTCCTGTTTGCGAACATCTACATGGGTACCATCGAACAAAAGGTCTTAGTCGACATGAACTTGAAACTGGCCATATACTGCAGGTATGTTGACGACATTTTTACACAGGTACCTAATGTCAGACATCTGCAGGAGCTGAAGGAGGCATTTGAGCGGAATTCTGTGCTGCGTTTCACTTACGAGATGGAGAAGGATGGGAAGCTGCCCTTTCTAGATGTAACAGTCATGGAAAAGAGCGGAGGTTTCCACACTGCAGTCTACACTAAGGAAACGAACATAGGAATGTGCCTCAATGCCAACAGCGACTGCCCAGACAGGTACAAGCGGAGTGTTGTTAACGCTTATGTCGACCGTGCTCTCAGCCACAGCTCAGGATGGAAGCAAGTCGATGAAGAACTCTGTAGGGTAAGGCAGGTCCTAGTCAACAAAGGCTTCTCCAATGGTTTCGTTGAAGACATCATAAGAACGACGTTGAAACGCCATGCAACCTCTGAAGAGACAACTAACACAACACCTGTGCCCCCTATTAGACTATTTTACAGGAAGTTCTTTTCCACAGCTCATAAAACGGAGGAAAGGGTCCTGAAAAATATTGTTAATAGGAACGTTATCCCTACAGACAAAAATCAGAAGATACAACTGACGATTTACTATAAAACCAAGAAAACGGCCAACCTACTCATGAGAAACTCTCCAGACACAAAGCAGAACACTTTAAAAGAGACCAATGTCGTCTATGCCTTCAAATGCCCACTTGGGGACTGTAAGCCTCAAAGAACTCAGTATATAGGCAAGACTACAACATCTCTTTCCAGGCAATTAACGATGCATAAGCAACAGGGCTCCATTAAGGAACATATAATCTCTTCCCACAACCAGACCGTCACCAGAGAAGTCTTAACAAAAAACACGGAAATCATGGATAGATACAGCGATAGCAGGCGGCTTGATATCTGCGAGGCACTACACATTAAGAAGTCGACACCAGCAATCAACAGCCAATTAATGCACAACTATATTCTACCCACCTCAAGACTCCGCACCAATATAGAAGCATCAAGAAATATGGGCCAATAGGCCCTTTGCAGTTACTTCCATTCTTCCCTTTAAATTACCCAATATATATATATATATATATATATATATATATATATATATATATATATATATATATATATATATATATATATATATATATATATATATATATACAGCGATATGATTGATAGATACAGCGATAGCAGGCGGCTTGACGTTTGTGAGGTACTACACATCAAGAAGTCAACACCAGCAATCAACAGCCAATTAATGCACAACTATATTCTACCCACCTCAAGACTCCACTCCAATATAGAAGCATCAAGAAATATGGACCAATAGGCTTTCTACAAACACTTCTATTCAATACCCATTGTTTCGTGTTCTGTCTTGTGTTGATGAAATTAATACCCTATTAATACCACCTCTTGTTCTGTCTTGTGTTGATGAAATTAATACCCTATTAATGCCACCTCACCCCATCCACTTCACTCAAATGTAGATATATATATATATATATATATATATATATATATATATATATATATATATATATATATATATATATATATATATATATATATATATTGGTAGCAGTCTTTCCTGTAGACATATATTATTAAATATGACCGAAAAAGTAAGATTAATAATTCTAACACGAATTTTCTCAATCTTTCGTACATTACGCTTCACTGTTGGAGGTAAATCAAAAATCACTTCTCCAAAATTCATTTTTATTTCTAGTCTGACGCGACACGGGCGCGTTTCGTAAAACTTATTACATTTTCAAAGACTTCACAAATACACAACTGATTAGAACTTACGTCTCTCTGATATTATATCTACATTTGAGTGAGGTGGGAAGGATGATGTGGCATTAACACAAGACAGAACAGGGGATATTAATAGGGTATTAAAAGTATCAACACAAGACAGAACAGAAAACAATGGGTATTGAATAGAAGTGTTTGTAGAAAGCCTATTGGTCCATATTTCTTGATGCTTCTATATTGGAGCGGAGTCTTGAGGTGGGTAGAATATAGTTGTGCAATAATTGGCTGTTGATTGCTGGTGTTGACTTCTTGATGTGTAGTGCCTCGCAAACGTCAAGCCGCCTGCTATCGCTGTATCTATCGATGATTTCTGTGTTGTTTACTAGGATTTCTCTGGCGATGGTTTGGTTATGGGAAGAGATTATATGTTCCTTAATGGAGCCCTGTTGCTTATGCATCGTTAAACGCCTAGAAAGAGATGTTGTTGTCTTGCCTATATACTGGGTTTTTTGGAGCTTACAGTCCCCAAGTGGGCATTTGAAGGCATAGACGACGTTAGTCTCTTTTAAAGCGTTCTGTTTTGTGTCTGGAGAGTTTCTCATGAGTAGGCTGGCCGTTTTTCTGGTTTTATAGTAAATCGTCAGTTGTATCCTCTGATTTTTGTCTGTAGGGATAACGTTTCTATTAACAATATCTTTCAGGACCCTTTCCTCCGTTTTATGAGCTGTGGAAAAGAAGTTCCTGTAAAATAGTCTAATAGGGGGTATAGGTGTTGTGTTAGTTGTCTCTTCAGAGGTTGCATGGCTTTTCACTTTCCTTCTTATGATGTCTTCGATGAAACCATTGGAGAAGCCGTTATTGACTAGAACCTGCCTTACCCTACAGAGTTCTTCGTCGACTTGCTTCCATTCTGAGCTGTGGCCGAGAGCACGGTCGACGTATGCGTTAACAACACTCCTCTTGTACCTGTCGGGGCAGTCGCTGTTGGCATTTAGGCACATTCCTATGTTTGTTTCCTTAGTGTAGACTGCAGTGTGGAAACCTCCGCCCTTTTCCATGACTGTTACATCTAGAAAAGGCAGCTTCCCATCCTTTTCCGTCTCATAAGTGAAACGCAGCACGGAACTCTGCTCAAATGCCTCCTTCAGCTCCTGCAGATGTCTGACATCAGGTACCTGTGTAAAAATGTCGTCAACATACCTGCAGTATATGGCCGGTTTCAAGTTCATGTCGACTAAGACTTTTTGCTCGATGGTACCCATGTAGAAGTTTGCAAACAGGATGTCCTGTTTGCAAACTTCTACATGGGTACCATCGAGCAAAAAGTCTTCGTCGACATGAACTTGAAACCGGCCATATACTGCAGGTATGTTGACGACATTTTTACACAGGTACCTGATGTCAGACATCTGCAGGAGCTGAAGGAGGCATTTGAGCAGAGTTCCGTGCTGCGTTTCACTTACGAGACGGAAAAGGATGGGAAGCTGCCTTTTCTAGATGTAACAGTCATGGAAAAGGGCGGAGGTTTCCACACTGCAGTCTACACTAAGGAAACAAACATAGGAATGTGCCTAAATGCCAACAGCGACTGCCCCGACAGGTACAAGAGGAGTGTTGTTAACGCATACGTCGACCGTGCTCTCAGCCACAGCTCAGAATGGAAGCAAGTCGACGAAGAACTCTGTAGGGTAAGGCAGGTTCTAGTCAATAACGGCTTCTCCAATGGTTTCATCGAAGACATCATAAGAAGGAAAGTGAAAAGCCATGCAACCTCTGAAGAGACAACTAACACAACACCTATACCCCCTATTGGACTATTTTACAGGAACTTCTTTTCCACAGCTCATAAAACGG